TCTAGGAACTCTGCCATGGAAACATTAGCTAGAATTTCTGTGTTGACTGTGTTTTTGTGTGTCTTGATTCAAATACTGTTATAGACGCCTCTTACACTCACGCATATAGCTATTATGAGTGAGACACCACAAGGGTCGCCTTTAGCTATTATACGTGGGAGACAACACATGTGTCGCCTCTTACTATCATTGGTGGGATACACCATACGTGTCGCGTTTAACTATCGTGCTTGGAATACAAAACATGCATCATCATCTACTTTTATCGTAGTGTAGGATTAAAAAGATCAGTACACTAACCACGACAATAAAATTTGTTCATCACTTCTTGCATTTTAGGATAGTTCTTTCTAAGATCGAAAAGTAAGTAAGACTTTGAAATAATGATTCTATTTCATAAACATCATGGACATGTTCTACATTAATCCTGGTCTTTTTCAATTTAAATATGTTCTATCTTATTCAAAATTCTCATCTATCTATATTTATTTAATTTCAAACTAATGAGCAATATTGTCGATACCTCTGCAGATTTATTCACCTCAATGTCACACTAACATTATTAGACTGCTAAAGTCACGATGACGACGTCATACTGCCAATGTCACATTAACGACGTCATACTGTTTATGTCACGATAACGACGTCATAATGTCAATGTCACTATAACGACGTCACACTGTCAATGTCACAATAACGGTGTCATACTGTCAATGTCACATTAACGACGTCATACTGTTTATGTCACGATAACGACGTCATAATGTCAATGTCACTATAACGACGTCATACTGTCAATGTCACAATAACGGTGTCATACTGTCAATGTCACATTAACGACGTCATACTGTTTATGTCACGATAACGACGTCATACTGTTTATGTCACCATACCTATGTAATTCTGTCTATGTCACGATAGCTAGTCATTTTGTTAATGCCATGATACCTGTAACCATGTAATACTATAGATGTCACAATAATGACATCGAACTGTTCCAATCACAATAAGAATGCCATACACACAATGTGTTCTTTTTTCTGTACTATAACTACATAAACATAGATGACGTTACGTCGACAGTGCATCTCTAAACTTGATATTATTGTCCACTTCCAGAGGTGAAGCAGCAAATTTCGAACAAGTACCGTCTCATAAAAAAACTTGATGAAGGAACATTTGGAAAGGTGTACTTGGGCATCGATGTCTACAGCGGATAATCAGTTGCCATCAAAATAGAGACCTTAGTGGAATATCCCGACATCTTTATCACGAAGAAAAGGTTGATCGTCTTTGACCTAGTTTAAGTTGTTATTTCCATCTATGTAAGAAACATTTCAGTTTGAATACGATTTTACTTATAGCAGATCAACTGATACGCAGACTTGAGTATATCCATCCCGCAGGCTTTGTCCATAGAGGTGTCAAGCTAAACAATTTCCTTGTTGGACGTGGTAATAATATTTATAGCATTGATTTCGGCTTGTCCAAACGATACCGACACCAAAACAATGAACACGTGCCCTACATAAACAAAGCTAGGTTTGCGTGCACGATTAGCTATATGAGTACTAACACACAACTCCACATTCAGCAAAGTCGTCGGGATGATATGGAATCAGCTAGTTATATTTAAATGTACGTTCTATTGGGTAAATTACCATGGCAAAAATATGACTCAAGTGAAAAAAACATTCAGATGAAACGTTCGTCGACAGTCGACGACTTTTTAAAAGGAAATCCACAGGAGTTCGCCATTCATATGAAGACGTGTCGATCGCTCCGGTTTGACGAGGAACATTATTACTACCATCTTCGTTTATTTTTCCGCAATTTATTACAAAGACAAAATTTGACTTCGGATAATATGTTTGACTGGCATGATGCAAAAGGTAGATGTAAAAATAAATGAGTTTGTTATTATATTATAATTTAATCTTGCTTGTAACAAGCATTTTCATTTGCTTAAAAAATATGTTATCAGCCCATAACGTAAAATAAATGACGTCGCCGTTTGTAACGTCGCTTTTGATTGGCTGATACAGCAGCGCAATAATTTCTAAGAGAAAAGAGTCCATCAATAAAAGTGGATTTCCACAGGGATTGTGTAAAGTAGATAAAAATATAAGGATTAACTTGAATATATTTTTCATGTTATGGAGATATAACACAAAAAAAACGGAATGTACTCTAAATAAACCGCTAAAAAATAGTATATTGCATTTATTTTTGTTATCAAAGAAGGTATTGGGTCATGCAAGGTGAAGTTTAATATTATGTAAAAGTACGATTTTTTGCGAACTCAAATGTTAACGTTTTATTTAATTTCAACAGATTAGCGTATTGAAGAATTAGCGAACTCGATATATAAGCAACAGAAAAATATATACACTAACTTCAATTAGCGTAGTCATAATTAAGCGCAAGATTTAAAGGGGCTTTTACCGAATATTTCATACACACTAAACAGGGAATCAGTGCTATAAATGATTAAACAGACTGAAAATAAATAGATATGTGCTGCCATACCGTAAACTTAGCTGTATATCGACATATTTTTTCGAGATTGAAATTTTGTTTTTCTCGTAAACAAAACCATACTCGTTTACCTCAAAGATTGCCGAATGGATCAAATGGTCCGTCACGTCACAATTCTGTCTTTACCCCGTCATAGCAAACCGAGGTAAATGTAAACAAAGACACGTGTGTCAGTTTTTCCACTTTGTCTTTCTTTCCTTAAGCTAATATCGTTGTAGGATAATATTATGGGATTTTAAAATCAACCAGATTCTTTTTAAAACACATCCAAAAGAACGTTGATGATTACAAATCAGGACAAGAACAATCATCACGAATGATTATCGTATGTTAAGGTCATAGGAGTGTATTGCTAAACGGAAATAGGAAGTACATCCCTAGTTGAAAATCCAATATAGGGAGACAGTATCACAATTTCCGCATATTCTAATGTTTAATATTAAACTGATGAATATTGTATGCTTATTATTGACAGAACAGTGTGTTCTTTCAATATTAAAGTATTGCAAAGCAATCCAGGCATTAATTACTATGTGTATATGGTTTTATTATAAAATGTCATTTTTTAATCGTTTATAGATGATTAATTTTACACAATTTCAGCAGTTATGAAATTGATATACATTAATGCAATACTAATCTATGTTAGTATCATTTTTATTGAAATTATTTTGCAAAATAAATGTGTGTTTCAAATTTTTTTTCAAAATTCAATCCTTTTTACATAAATTCCAATTTTTGAAAATTTGAATAAATTCTACTGAGAAATGGCGACACAGTCCAATTACCTTAAGGAGAATAGTTCACGTCATCGCTAGCTACGAAATTAGCTAGCGGAGGCCCAAACGGGACTTCGATACTCTATCGCAGAGGCATATATTTTGATAATTATCAAATCCACTTTTTAAGTTTAAGTTCGGAAAGTGACCAAGTGCTTTAAAGGAGAATATGGTCTCTTCCTATCAATTATATTCATTATCTTAATTATAAAACATTAAATTCATACTCTACACCATATATATATAACCACAAGCCCGATACGTTTGACAGTAAAATCAGTTCTTTTGCGGAATAATTTGATTAACTTTGACATAACTCATCAACCGAATATCTCCAGAGTGCATTAGAAATAATGACTTTCAGAATGAAATATATGCATGTTAAGTGATATTTTTCATAATATTCAAAACAGTATGAAACAATTTTGTGAATGTTCACTAAGGTTTACATGCATAATTGTAAAGAGAAAGTTAAAAACTGTTCAAAAAACCGCATACCCACAATAATTTTGACAGGAAGTATCTACTTGAAATCTTCTAGGTAATCTTTTTATATTGATCTTAAAAAATAGAAATCCAGTATACATTGTAATTATGCAGCTGAGTAGATCAATGCATTAACTTTGAGCATGTTCTTCATCATAGCACAGGCTTGTCGACGGATAAAAAAAATATATAAAGTTATAGTCAAGCCACTGATTTGTTAAACCAATCAAATAATCTCTTCGTACTCGGTATAATGAGAATTATTTTTGGTTTTTGAAAATGTGTACAAATCATTATTAGCTCTTAATTGTAGCTCTCTTCATACAAATGATGCTTGCACTTTTTGAAGATCACTATTGTGACAGCAAAATTATGTGAGAAAAAACACAAGCACGTGTTCATGTACTAATTAATATTACACTTATTACTTATACAGACAGGCTGGGAGTGTATCCTAATGTTTCTTTAAATACCTTCGAAAATGTAGAAACTTCAGAGACTTATTGTCTTTTACAATTATAATACTAATGATAATAATTCGAGATTCTTCTATACCGCTTTATCACAACATAGTTCGTAGGTCGTCTCAACGCGGTTCATATTATCCGTGGTTGAAGGGCCTTCGCAACCAGCCAATATCTTTTTCTCAACTCCCTGGGGAGCATACAGCCGGTGCTGCCATTTCGGGTTTCACAGCTAGCATTCAACAATTCAAGCACTGCCCAACCACGTACTCATTTACAACTGAATAGACTGGAACAAGCGGAGTAAAGTATCTTGCTCAAAGATACAACACAGTGCCGTGTCGTGACTCGAAACCGCGACCCTTTGGTCACGAGCCCGGCGTCCTACCACTAGACTACCGTGCCTCCATATATGTTACACATATGTTTTTATTTCTATTTTTGAAATAGTTTTCCATTTCGGCAACAACAACAAAGCCACAAAATATCACTTTCAAACAATTCAATCATTCATTGCAATTACAGCCGCTCCATGCATAGAATGGACGTAGAATGGCGTGTAAACAGTCAAAACACAATAATGCAAATGCCTGTTGTCAAAATATTAAATAAATCAGAAGAAATTTATCTTCTTCAGCATACTTGATTAGATGATTAAATCATTTTCCCTACATTGTAGTTCAGCTATGATTTCATCACTTCTTATAACATAGTTGTTTTCTGGTACCATGGTCTATCTATCCCTGTCTTCCTCTTCTTTTTCACCATCATCCGGTCCTGCTATAGAATCTAACCCAAACTCTGCATCACTTATTGCCATATGCTGTAGGTCTTCCTTCTGATCAGGCCTAAAAACTTAAGATGATGCGAAATGACAGCATTTCAGTGGAACTGTAAACAAATGTATTACACATTTATAGATATATGTTGATGTATGCTTCAATAAGTACTTTATGACATTTTAAACTATTACTATGCAAACGACCTGAAGGGCCTGTATTACACCTAAAAGTGATAATAGCAATTTTTGTCGAAAATACAATAAACAAATCAACATTTTGGACTCGAACAACCCCTGTATGAGACATGTGCGAATTTTTCTCTTCATGTCCTAGTAATTGTTTTATACATTTAAGGGGTGGGGATCTCATGCTTTTCAGGGAATTATCCCAGGGGGAAAATAACAATAAACAAAACATCCTCCGCCTTCCCCAATACCAAATAAGTCCAGATTCTATAATTCTTTTGTTTTAGTGTCCATATTTTCCTAAACACTTGTTCAATTGTTCAATTTATATATACACGTTGTAAGTGTCCTGTTTATTAAGATTTTCTTATTATATGCATGTAGCAATGTGGGAAGAAACGAGAGTACCCGGAGAAAACCGACGTGGTCGGGGTTTTCTCCGGGTACTCCAGTTTCCTCCCACATTAAGACCCAACAAGAGTGATTGATATAAGTTGAACTAACTTGTTTCATAAGTGTTGTGAAATAAATAAAGTTTATACTATATATTGACACTTGGTAATTGTTCTTGTTTACCCGTGTTTGTCTTACGTCCATCTTGTCTAGATACCAGTTGGTTTGGTTTGGTTAAGTATTGTTTAACGTCCTATCTATGGACATTTAAGGACGGCCTCCCCTGTGTGCAACCAGTTGGTAGTCACTGCTTGTGGATTTCCTTGCCCCGAGGTTTGCTGTAACCTTGATGGCCACAGTAAAAGGTAGCACGGGTCATAATATACACACTTTATAGATTATTTAATTTGAAATTAACAAGTTTTTCTCAAAAAAATTAAATTCGTAAGTTAAGGGGTTTTGCGCACATGTCCCTCTGTTTCAACAGTAGTTCAGACAATTTTGATTTTCCAACATGTATCCCCTTGCATCACCGATGAGTCATAAGAGGACGAAAAGCGTTATGATGCAGTGTTATTCATTGTTGGCATTATGTATCTATTGCCAAAAGTGCTATCACCTGTATGTGTACTACGTTCATCTTCCCTTGTAATATAAACGTTTAACATTGACACAGGGTTGGTGTCTTGTTTATACACATTTCATGTGAATTCATTTGAATTATTATTTATTTGATGCTGCGTGGGTGTACATGCAATCTCAAATAAATGTCACACATATCATTAAGAATTGTTTTATGTAATTTTTGTAAATATCCATTTGTCAACTTCGTCACTTTCTTTAGCTTAAACTTACTTCCAAAGTATAACAACGGCACGTGTTGGTCTATTCAGCCCATCTGTGACGTTTGTATAACAGGGACAAGAAATATTGATCAGATATCTTTGGAACTGTCAGCTGTAGGAGGTCGATTCAGTAATGACAAATGATAGTTAATATTCGAAACAAAGTCAATATTACACAAATTAGTACAGCACAACAAAATGAAATGAAAAGTAGAAATTATTTTTTGGAGAAATCCGATCAGAAAAGTGCCTATATTTACATTTCTTTAGGTAAACCTACCAAAACAAAATAGTTGTTATAAATCAATTGTGACAATAACTTATACATGTAAACCACTCTTTTCCAAGCTTTCGGGCTTAGCCCTTCGTCAGTGATTAAATGTCACTGGGCCTCTATGTCACATCCATCTTGACACATAGAGGTCCAGTGACATTTAATCACTGACGAAGGGCTAAGCCCGAAAGCTTGGAAAAGCAGTGTTCATTTTATTAAGTGAAGTATTTCTTCTGGTTCTGTTCATTTCTATACTTTGTAGCTATTATCTGTAAATAATTATGACCTGGTTAATCTAAATATGTCTGTTTGCTACTACTACATACGCCAGAATGATCGATTTCTTGTTTCAAATTGAGTTAGTTTGTTCAAGAATATTGACTATCTGGCCAATATTTGTTTTCAAACTTTTACCAAATGGCCTGTATCGACGAACACGTGTTGTTGTTATAATAAACAGTATTTGTTGTGAAATACGTTTGTGTTTAGGTTTAAGATTAAAGGACGACTTTTGAACAGGTGCATGTATAAGTATTAATAATTGCATAAATTGTACAATGTAATTGTAATAATGGTGATATTAATACACCATGAACGACACTTTTAGAATGTATGAACTCGAATCTATTTACCAACTGATAATAATGTCGTTCTCAGATGGCAAAGGTCAGGAAAAGGAGTTAATATAAACTTTAATTCCTTCAAAATTAAGTTGCATTACACCACATAACATACGAAGTACAGAGGAATGGGATCCGGAAACAAGTTGAAATAACTTATATAAATCCGTTTCTGAGATTTTATCTCATTAAATTAAGGCATGATGGCATAGTTACTGAATTTTATGGAAAGAAATATAATATAATTACTTCAAACAGAAATTTACTTTTAAACGTAGTTCGAGGGATATTTGAAATGTTAGTAAAAGAAGAGGGATAGGAGGGGGTGGGGATGGGGGATAATGATGCCCGTGCCAATAAGAATAGAAGGAGAGGAAATAGGTGATGTGAATCAAAGCATCGTTGTATAATGAATAGAACTTAGTCAAATCTTTTAGATTGGATAATGAAGTTTTGTACAGATGAAAAAATTAAAGCATTTTCATCATCTGTAAACTCATCATTCCCGAACAAAAGTAAATCAGTTGAGAGTGGATGATTGATTTCGTTAAATGTATGTAAACTTAGTTAAGAAATAAGACAACAATGTAATAGATAATGTTCATTGGTTTCATTTGCTTGCATGCAAGAACACAGAGGACCATCAACTAGATTTCTCTGGTAGAGATAAAACTTAATGGAACTACATTCCATTCTTAATCTACCATGATGTATCTGCCCCAGTATGGTAACATTAAAGCAGAAAATTGGAATTTTGTGAGCGGGCTTGCGTAGATAGGATTTAAGTTTATAAATTGAAGGGTCGTTCTTGACATAGTCAGGCAAGGAGTTCCAGATACTGATGACAGATAGCAAAAAAGATTTATTATAGAGACTCGTATGACAAACTATTTGACGAAAATTATTACCCGTGCGAGTATCATGGTTGTGGTAATTTCAGTTACGCTGAGGTAGAATATTTAGAAGATGTTGAGGAGCCAGACCATGAACCATTTTGTGGAAAAGATTAAGCTTGTGCTGTTTACGTCTTTCCTCGAAGGGAAGCCAACCTGTTTCAGTATACAGTTTAATTATACTTGTGCATCTAGTGCCGCCAGTGACTATGCGTGCTGCTTCTAATTGAAGATTTTCTAATAACTCAGATTGAGCTTTAGTAAGGCAGTCCAATAAGATATCGCAATAGTCTAATATAGGTCGAATAAGAGTGTAGTACATAGTTTGGAGACTATACCTGTCCAAAGAGAATTTAAATTTACGTAAGATATTTATTTTAGGTGAAATCTTAGATATCAAATAACTGATGTGTTCATTCCAATGACCATTTCCAGAGAGAAAAATACCTAAATGCTTGTGAGTAGTAACTTCAGAGATGCTAGTATTGTTCATATTTAAGGGAGGGTGAAAAGGTTTAATGGTTTTTCTACTAATGAGCAGGGTTTCTGTTTTGAAAGGGTTAAAATTTACTAACCATCTTTGCTACCAGTTAGGATTTGTATTAAGGTCACTATTAAGAATGTCTGCGCTGACTCTAGGAATATCAACAGTGACGTAAAGAGAGGTGTCATCAGCAAATAACTTTATTTTAACTTGTATATCTTTAACAATATCATTTATATATATCAGAAATAAAAGAGGTCCAAGAATTGAGCCCTGTGGAACACCAGCCTTAACATTTAACCAATTTGATTTTTTTTCATTGATGACAACTCTCTGCTTTCGATTGGAAAGATAATTTTCAAACCAAACTAATAGCGAATTTCGAATCCCATAGCTGGATAATTTACAAAGAAGGCCTTTATGCCAAATACAATCGAAAGCTTTACTAATATCACAAAAGACCATACGTATTTCCTTACCATTGTCTAAAGCTAAATATATATCTTGAATGATCGCAAGAAGTTGATTTGTTGGTGAGTCACCGTGCCTATACCAAATTGATGGGGGGACTAGGAGGGAGTGAGTGTGCAAAACATTGTAGACATATTTGAAGACACATCTTTCCATTAATTTACCAACGATCGATAGCAGTGATATAGGTCTGTAATTAGTTAATATAGACTTGTTATCTTTTTTATGCACAGGGGTGACGTTAGCAAGCTTCCATTCAGATGGAAATACCCAAGATCTTATTGACCTGTTAAAGATATTTCTTAATGGGACACATATGATATTTACTGATTCTTTAAGAAGACGAGGATTTACCAGGTCAGGACCAATGGCCTTAGAACAGTTAGTGGTAAGAATAGCATCTCTGACATCATTAGCTGTGATGTTAATATCAGATAAAGAATTATTATATTCGTCGTTAATGTTAGGGAGATTTACATTGGAATCATCAACTGTAGACTGGGCACAAAAGAAGTCATTAAATAAGCAAGCTTTCTCAAAGTCATCTGAGACAGCGCTATTATTATGAAGCAATGGTGGTATACAAAATTTACCAGAGTTAGGTAATAGTTGCTTTACAGTTTTCCACCATTGTTTAGCACTAATGTTAGAAGGTTTGCGAAGTTCGCTACATAAATTAGAAAACACATTTGTTACGAAGTCGACGAAACTTTGCCCAGTGAGCTTCAGTAACAGTATGCTTGGCTTTTTTATGAGCGCGCTTTCGTTTACGAATTAATCTCCTTATTTCGTTTGATAGCTAAGGGGGTTCGTTAGATCTGATGGTTATTTTTCTATTCGGAATACAAGATTTAGCAATAGTAAGCAAAATATCTAAGAAATGTTTGACAGCATCATTAATATCATCAAAATCACTCAATAAATTCCAGTTAATTGAACTTTGTTTTTCCCTAAATAAATCGTAATTTCCTAGGTCAAAAGGCCAAACGTTTTGCTTAAACACTTGCTGCACTAGCTTTGAAATATTAAAAGAACAGTAAATTTGACAATGATATCTAACCGGTTGGTCAAGGAAGCTTTCTCCAACATAACTTTATTAATAAGTTTATTACTATTAGTAAAGACTATATCTAACAATGACTCAGAGGCTTCTGTATAAAAAGTTGGTGATTCAACAAGCTGAGTTAGATTAAAGGAAACAAACATATCGCGTAAGTGGGACGAATGGTGGTCTACTAGGGCATTTGCATTAAAGTCGCCGGTTATCACAATATGAGAAATACCTGTATTATACGCTTTTTCTATAGAATGCAAGATATGGGACCATATGATGACAGGAGAGTTTGGAGGCCGATAAAAAGTACCATATCATATTTTCTGTGAACCAAGTACAATTTCTAACCAAACACATTCAATGGTAGCTATCTCTATATCTGATCTTCTCTTTGCATGAATATTATATTTTACATAAACCGATATACCACCGCCCAATCGATCAGGTCTACAGTAGCAGAATGGGTCAGAATATCCAGGCAGGTTAGGGTCAGATGAAATATCACTTAAATTTAACCATGTCTCAGTAAAGGATAAAATTGTTATATTACTTAACTCGGTGTAAAGAATATCGAGTTTTTGTTTGAGACTTTGAACATTAAGATGGACAAATGAAAAATTACTTACTGCATCAAGCTGGCCACTAATATTAGAAGATATAGATGAGGAAGACCAGCTAGAAGACATGGGACCAGGATTCAGTTCTATATCTCCAGATAACAACAAATGCCAATAGTCCAAAGCACGGCGTAGAGATATATACCATTTATCAGTAGCGGACATGATAGAAGAGGAGATGAATTTAGCACTTATGTAGTGAATATCAGGTCTGTATTTGAAACTTTTGACGCTAAGATGGACGAAAGAATACCTATCGTTACAGAACTGGATACTTGAAGAGCAAGTAGAAGCAATTGATTGAAAGGTAGAAAAGGGCTGGGAATTTAACTCAATGTCACCTGACAAACACCAGCTGATCAATGCATAATGTATAGATATAAAAGAAAGTAATTCTGCTATAAAAAGATGCGCAGTGGTAACATGAGCTGCTACGGAACCACTCTCTGAATGATGTACTAATTTAATGTAAATAAGACGTAAAAACAAATAACAAAAGTAAGAGTAATGCAATACATAACATGTCGTGAACGGTCACGTAAAGAGCGAGATTTGCGGACTGTATATAGTTACCTTTTCGGCCCTTATTACCAGGAAAAGACTGCCAACATTGACTCCCATTTGATAACGTATGTTTTCCTTTTCTCTAATAATCGCACGATTGAAATCTGGTATTGAGTTTCTCTTACCTACCTCGTTACTTCATCTTTCGAGGGATATGTGTGGATGCCTTATTGATTTACCTGAAAGACAAATTACTTTCACTTGTCATCCAAATAAGAAAAAACACTTATTACCTTATGTTTTTGGATGAACGGTAAAACTATAGAAGAAGACAATAATCTCTGAAGCATAGATAGGTAAAATAAGACGTGACATTGTATCGTTATTTTATGTTCTGTTTTACATTTCCCACCAAAAATTATTCTGACAACTTAATTTTTGTCTGCAGTTGAGCTACTCAGTAACAGTCGAACCGTGTGATAAAGACATTGACCTGGTTTATAGCCGGGTTACCAATGTACATCAAACGTTCGTTATCAGCTCCCTGGAGCATATGTCAATATTGAGTTTAACAACCAAATAGTTTCCCATAGGCAAAAGCATAAATGTTCGACACCTCCTGGTGAAAAATATTGTAATGTGTGTGAATGCATACTAATTGGTATGGAGTTTTGTCAGTTAATGGCACAACAAGCGTTCATGATCATAATGATTAAAATATCAATCCTAACAACGAATTAAAAACTTTAAAATATAGAATATAATTACTATGATTTCAGTAAAATTGTTGGGAAAAAATTGTAATTCTTATATTTCTTAACTTAAAGCGTAATAAAGTTTGCAAAACTAACTACATCTTTGTCAAATATATCAAGAATCTGATTCTTATAATCATTTTATTTTTACGAAGATATAAAGGAAAAAACACTGATGATATCTTATATAATATCATACAGGACATCTTTACTGACGAAAATCCAACCAAGTGTCAATGCTACACGTTCACAATCAAGAAAAAATCAATATATTTATAATACATAAAAACAACTTAAAGTGGACCCCAGTCAAGTGTCAATGATATAGACAACTCAGGTTGGTCTGATAGAGCAGTCGATATCCCATTCGCCTTATACCAAGGCCGCCAGGGTTCGACTCCTCGACCTGACGTGACAAGGTATGGATCAACTGCCCGACTAAGTTGGTTTTCTCCGGGTACTCCAGTGTCCTCCCACATTAATACCCCCAGCGCGCTCTTTTTCGGGCCAAAAAGAGTGATTAATGTAAAGTGAAAACAAAATCATTAGGGTTGTTAAAGAGATAAGGTTTATATCTTAATTCTATTATATACTGTTCTTATATCAAGATATCATACGTTTTATCATAGATTGAATTTTTGTTTCAGAACGGTGATATCGTTATTGCTCAATGTCAGCAAGTAGGACATTTCGTTTTTTCAAAAAGGCTTGTGCAACAGAAAGTTTGTTTCTTGAAAGGAAAACCGTCCATTACTAATTTCTGTACTAATCAATTGTTTATTTAGCTGTCTCAAGAAAGATATAATTAATAATGCAGAGTTTCTAACAGTACAACTTATCAAACCTACATTTTGATATTGATGTTTCATTATATTTCAGACCAATGTCCTGTTATTGTAATTAACGGTTTAGAAAATGACACCTACAGAGAGTTTAACTATTTTATATCTAAATTTTATATAAGTTTTGTTAAATTGGTCTGCTAGACTTGAAATATAAATTGTTTGATCTATTTGGTTTGTTTGTTTTTACGTCCTATTAGCATTTAATGACGTGCCAGGTTTTGGTGATGAAGGAAAGCCAGATCTCCTGGAGAAAAAGTACCGATCTACGGCCACTACCTGGCGACTGCCCCACGTAGGTTTCGAACCCGCGACCCAGTGGTGGTGGGCTAGTGGTAGCAGAATGCCAGAACCCTTAACCTCTTGGCCACCGCGCCCCCTTTGTTTAATCTAGTTTACCAAAGTGTATTGTAAATCAATAATATATTAATGAGGGTTTTTATCAATCAAACAAGTGACTTTGTGTTTTTTCTTGTCACATTAACTATAGAACCAGTTCAACTTATCATAAACATCTTTATTAGCTTGCATGGTTGCGCATAGGGGTGTAGGGGATCGTATATGTGACAGACGTCTAAACTTATTTCTCTAACTGCTCTTTGGTAGTACTGCCACATACAAACAGCATAGTTTACGCAGACAAACGATTCATTCAAGGACTTTTTAGGATAGTCAACAACATTACTTCCCTTTTATAGAAATTAACAAATGACATAAATGAGAGGTAAGACTTGATTGTTAAACTTTGCTAGGTATAAACAAGAACACTACTAATTTGTTATCAAACTATTGTATTTTTACATCTTCCGTTGGCATCTTGCCAGTCAAACGTATTATCCGAAGTCAAATTTTGTCTATGTAATAAATTGCGGAAAAGAAGTCGAAGATTGTAGTAGTCAGGTTTCTCCTCAAACCGGAGAGATCGACACCTCTTTAAATAAATGGCAAATTCTTGTGGATATCCTTTAATCATATCGTCGATTCTCGACGATTGTTTCAGCTGAAGCACTTTTTTGCGTTTTTTATGCTTGTTTTTAATGTTCAACTTTTGCCATGGTAGTTTACGTAGTAGAAAGTACATTAAGACATAACCAAATGATTCCATATCATCACGACGACTTTGCTGTATGCCGAGTAGTGTGTTAATACTCGCATACCTAGTCGTGCCTGCGAACCTAGTTTTGTTTTTGTAGGGCACGTGTTCATTGTTTTGGTTCCGGTACAGTTTGGACAAACCGAAATCAATGCTATAAATTACGTCACTTTTATTTCCATGTCCTACAAGGAAATTTTCTGGTTTGACATCTCTATGGATAAAGCCTGCAGAATGGATATACTCAAGTCTGCGTATCAGTTGATCTGCTATAAGCAAAATCGTTTTCAAAGTGAAATGTTTCTTACAGAGATGGTAATAGTCATATAAACTAGGTCCGAGAAGATCAGTTACTAGAAAATTGTAACTCCCATCTTTACCGCTCCATCTTACAGTAGGGAAGCCTTCTCCGCCTTCAAGTATTCTGTAAACCTTTTCCTCCTCGTGCAAATATGGGTGAGTTATCTCTGTGTCCTCAATTTTGATAGCAACTGATTCTCCGCTGGTGACATCGGTGCCCAAAAACACCTTTCCAAATGACCCTTCACCAAGTTTTCTTATGAGACGGTATCTTTTCCCAATTCGCTGCTCCGACTCTGGAAGCGGATAATAAAATCAAGTTCAATATTGTGAGGCCGACGACATTTCATTAATCATGTCGTCATAGTAGAAAAAGAGTATCAAGAGTGTAACATTAATTGTAAGATTAAAACGTATGACAGTATGGCATCGTTATGGTGACAGTAATTATGTTTTTGTGACATTAACACTATGACATCGTTATGGTGACAGTAATTATGTTTTTTTGACATTAACACTATGACATCGTTATGGTAACAGTGATTATGTTTTTGTGACAATAACACTATGACATCGCTATGGTAGCAGTAATAATGTTTTTGTGACATTAACAGTATCACATCGTTATGGTAACAGTAATTATGTTTTTGGGACATTAACAGTATGCCATCGTTATGGTAACAGTAATAATGTTTTTGTGACATTCACACTATGACATCGTTATGGTAACAGTGATTATGTTTTTGTGACAATAACCCTATGACATCGTTATGGTAACAGTAATTATGTTTTCTGGGACATTAACACTATGACATCGTTATGGTAACAGTAATAATGTTTTTGTGACAATAACACTATGACATCGTTATGGTAACAGTAATAATGTTTTTGTGACATTAACATTATGACATCGTAATGGTAACAGTAATTATGTTTTTGTGACATTCACACTATGACATCGTTATGGTAACAGTAATAATGTTTTTGTGACATTCACACTATGACATCGTTATGGTAACATTAATAATGTTTTTGTGACATTAACACTATGACATCGTTATGGTAACAGTAATTAAGTTTTTGTGACATTAACACTATGACATCGTTATGGTAACAGAAATTATGTTTTTGTGACATTACCAGTATGACATCGTTATGGTAACAGTATTTATGTTTTTGTGACAATAACACTATGACATCGTTATGGTAACAGTAATAATGTTTTTGTGACATTCACACTATGACATCGTTATGGTAACATTAATAATGTTTTTGTGACATTAACACTATGACATCGTTATGGTAACAGTAATTATGTTTTTGTGACATTAACACTATGACATCATTATGGTAACAGTAATAATGTTTTTTTGACAATAACCCTATGACATCGTTATGGTAACGGTAATAATGTTTTTGTGACATTAACAGTATGACATCGTTATGGTAACAGTAATAATGGGTTTTTTGACATTAACACTATGACATCGTTATGGGAACAGTAATTATGTTTTTGTGACATTAACACTATGACATCGTTATGGTAACAGTAATAATGTTTTTGTGACATTAACAGTATGACATCGTTATGGTAACAGTAATAATGTTTTTTTGACATTAACACTATGACATCGTTATGGTAACAGTAATAATGTTTTTTATGACATTCACACTATGACATCGTTATGGGAACAGTAATTATGTTTTTGTGACATTAACACAATGACATCGTTATGGTGACAGTGATTATGTTTTTGTGACATGAACACAATGACATCGTTATGATAACAGTAATAATGTTTTTGTGAAAATAACACTATGACATCGTTATTGGAACAGTAATTATGTTTTAGTGACATTAACACAATGACAGCGTTATGGGAACAGTAATTATTTTTTTGTGACATTAACACAATGACAGCGTTATGGGAACAGTAATTATTTTTTTGTGACATTAACAGTATGACATCGTTATGGTAAAAGTAATAATGTTTTTGTGACAATAACACTATGACATCGTTATGGTAACAGTAATTATGTTTTTGTGACATTCACACTATGACATCGTTGTGGTAACAGTAATTGTGTTTTTGTGACAATAACACTATGACATCGTTATGGTAACAGCAATTATGGTTTTGTGACAATAACACTATGACATCGTTATGGTAACAGTAATAATGTTTTTTGTGACATTACCAGTATGACATCGTTATGGTAACAGTAATTATGTTTTTGTGACATTAACACAATGACATCGTTATGGTAACAGTAATTGTGTTTTGTGACATTAACACAATGACATCGTTATGGTAACAGTAATATTTTTTTTGTGACATTCACACTATGACATCGTTATGGTAACAGTAATGATGATTTTGTGACAATAACACTATGACATCGTTATGGTAACAGTAATAATGTTTTTGTGACATTACCAGTATGACATCGTTATGGTAACAGTAATTGTGTTTTTGTGACATTAACACAATGACATCGTTATGGTAGCAGTAATATTGTTTTTGTGACATCCACACTATGACATCGATATGGTAACAGTAATGATGATTTTGTGACATTCACACTATGACATCGTTATGGTAACAGTAATTGTGTTTTTGTGACAATAACACTATGACATCGTTATGGTAACAGTAATTATGTTTTTGTGACATTAACACTATGATATCGTTATGGGAACAGTAATTATGTTTTTGTGACAATAACACTATGACATCGTTATGGTCTCAGTAGTAATGCTGTTTTTTCCATTAACAGTATTACACAGTAATTATGTTTTTTTGACATTAACACTATGATACCCTTATGGGAACAGTAATTATGTTTTTGGGACATGAACAGTATGCCATCGTTATGGTAACAGAAATTATGTTTTTGTGACAATTACACGATGACATCGTTATGGTAAAAGTAATAATGTTTTTGTGACAATAACCCTACGACATCGTTATGGTAACACTGATTATGTTTTTGTGACAATAACCCTACGACATCGTTATGGTAACAGTGATACACTATGACATCGTTATGGTAACAGTAATTATGTTTTTGTGACAATTACACTATGACATCGTTATGGTATCAGTAGTAATGCTGTTTTTTCCATTAACAGTATTACCTTTTTTCGTGACATTAATAGTACCGCATCGTTATTTTATTTACTGCATGACATCGCAATTGCGACATTGATAGTCGTATTTTGTTATCGTGACATTAACAGTATGCTACGGTGGTACATGTAGGACATGCGCAATTTTAGTTCTACATGAATTATTTCGAGCGCTCGACTTATTATCTCGAGTGCTCGACTTACTATGTCGAGCGCTCCACATATTATCTCGAGCGCCATAGTATGTCATTGTTGTCGTGAGATTTTAACGAAATCTCTGGAAATCGTATCAATTGGTATTGATTAATTACTGTTTTGAAAAAATATATAAAAAAAAGAATTTGAGAACATAATCATTTATTATTGTAAAAGGACTTCTATTAGCGCACTCAAAATTCAAACGCATTATTCAATTTTAACAGAGTAGCGCTATGATGAAAAATACCTAGGCTTCTAATGGTGCATTGATAATTTAGCGAAGCATTTAAAGTGCCAAATGTGTTGCATTCCACTACAATGATATAAGGAGGCGACAAATGTGTTGTATTCCACTACTATGATAGAGGGAGGCAACATATGTGTTGTGTACCACTACAATGATATAAGGAGGCGACATATGTGTTGTATTCCACTACAATGATATAAGGAGGCGACATATGTGTTATATTCTACTACTATGATAGAAGAAGGCGACATATGTGTTGTGTACCACTACAATGATATAAGGAGGCGACATATGTGTTGTGTACCACTACAATGATATAAGGAGGAGACATATGTGTTGTGTAACACTACAATGATATAAGGAGGCGACATATGTGTTATATTCTGCTACTATGATAAAAGAAGGCGACATATGTGTTGTGTACCACTACAATGATATAAGGAGGCGACATATGTGTTGTGTACTACTACAATGATATAAGGAGGCGACATATGTGTTATATTCTACTACTATGAAAGAAGAAGGCGACATATGTGTTGAATATCACTACAATCATAGAAGAAGGCGACATATGTGTTGAATATGACTACAATCATAGAGGGAGGCGACATATGTGTTGTGTTCCACTACAATCATAGAGGGAGGCGACATATGTGTTGTGTACCACTACAATCATAGAGGGAGGCGACATATGTGTTGTGTACCACTACAATGATATAAGGAGGCGACATATGTGTTATATTCTACTACTATGATAGAAGAAGGCGACATGTGTTGTGTACCACTACAATGATATAAGGAGGCGACATATGTGTGGTGTACCACTACAATCATAGAGGGAGGCGACATATGTGTTGTGTACCACTACAATGATATAAGGAGGCGACATATGTGTGGTGTACCACTACAATCATAGAGGGAGGCGACATATGTGTTGTATTCCACTACAATGACATAAGGAGGCGACATATGTGTTGTGTACCACTACAATCATAGAGGGAGGCGACATATGTGTTGTGTACCACTACAATCGGAGGGAGGCGATATATGTGTTGTATTCCACTACAATGACATAAGGAGGCGACATATGTGTTGTGTACCACTACAATCATAGAAGGAGGCGACATCTGTGTTGTATTCCACTACAATGACATAAGGAGGCGACATATGTGTTGTGTACCGCTACAATCATAGAGGGAGACGACATATGTGTTGTATTCCACTACAATGACATAAGGACTAATGTGTTTTTGGTAAACTTACCTATCGAACCATTCCTTCCAATAACTTTGACCACTTTCCCGGCCTTGATACCAAGCAGACGACCAGTCTGGTTTGCAGGTAGCGTCTCTACAATGTTTTCTTCTGCGAAACTGATTTCTCGATGGCCCTTTATAGACAAATGTCTTTGTTTAACTTCCTTATAGCTTTTGGGATGTTCGCTGGAGCCTATTCCAACCAGCTGACTGTCGTATATCCCGTTTTCACCACTGTTTAAATTGTATCGCCTGTATATATTTGGGACGGGATGATAGGAAACATCCCTACTAAATAACAGTATTTGAATAGAGACATACAAAAACATAATTAACACAGAAAATCTAGCAAATGTCTTCATGGCACAGTTCCTAGACTCAGAGTAGGCTGTTGGAACACCAGTTTCTACTAGATACTAACATAACGTACATCTACATGTGTCTTGTTCAGAAGTCAGATCACTTTTTGTTTGTAAAAAAGTATAACGTTATCCCTACAATATGTTTTAGTTGTTAATAGCCACAGGGACACTTAAATAGCTTGCTTGAAAATAAAGATTTGTTCAGCTGTGACGCCAATTAATTTCTAAAACAAATGATGCATAGCCGTATTGCTGGCCGACGGCTATACTGTATTTAGAGACATATGTAATATATACTAAAATCTATTATCTTAATGCATATGTCGGATTTAAATTGCTTTTTAAGGAGAATTTTTCCTGATTAAGTGTGTTGATACAGACAATATTTACTAGGGCATGGAGCATATCTAACTACCCATGCAATACATAGTCTGTGTCTGATTTTTTGATTTTTTTTAGTTTAACATTTGTAATATATCGCACTGTGCCTAAAGGTTGTTTGTATAGCTAAAAACGGATATAGATCAACAAAACACAGAATTACTGATCATTCGACATGTTGTATATTTAAATAAATGATAATGGTTGAACTGAAAAATATACCACGCATACTATATATATTGAGTTCATGTGCGCCGACGTCTTGAGTCCTGCTGTAGATGTCAATTTAAAATTTAGCCACTGAGTAAAATAGGTTTGTCTACTTTATGCTACGCTACGCTTGGTATAATACAAATCCTAAAGGATTAGAAGTAAGTACAACTGTGTGAAGAGTAACATTTAACTGATGTATTTTCACAACTTTATGTTCATGTAATTTTACATCTTACGATTGCGTAAATAATAAGTATTACTCTTATCACCAGATCCAACAACGAACTGTTCAGGTCTAACATCTCTATTGACAAACCCTTTAGAATGGACGTAGTCAAGCCTGCGTATGAGTTGATCCGATATTACCAAAGTCGTAATCAAACTGAAACGTCTGTTACAAAGAACGAAATATCTGCCTAAGCTTGGTCCAAAAGATCAGTTGCTGTTATTTTGTAAATTCCGTCCCTTCCGCTCCACCTTAAGGTAGGGAAACCTTCTTCACCTTCAAGCATTCGGTAAACTTGTTCTCCTTCATACTGGTACGGGACAGCTTTCGGTGTGTCCTCCAATTGGATGGCAACCGATTTACCGCTGGTTATATCAGTGGCCAAATATACTTTTCGTTACTGCACTCACCAAGCTATCTTACGAGATGATACTAGTCCCCAATTCTCTGCTCAACCTCTGGAATAATATAATGATTTCAAGTTCAGAAGTATGTTTTCGACGTGACGTCATTTAGCCTGCTTTCTTTATCGTACAGAGAAAACGAAATATTATAAAGTATGACATCGTAATGTTACTATACATTGTATCGCATTAACATTGCGTCGTCATTTTACTATACATTGTACGGCATTAACATTACGTCATCATTGTGTTGTCAATAAGAGTATGTATTTCTTGTCTTGACATTAAGAGTAAAACATCGTTAAAGTAATGTTAAAAGTATGCCACTGCTTTTTGTGTCTGTGGCAGAGACGATATTTGTGATATCTATATTTATAATATTACGGTATATACATATGTTCTGATATAGTAATAGCGATCTTCATATTGTGGTATAGTTAGTTCCTTATTTTGGCCTCTTTGATTGGTTTGGTTATATATATTTTTATCATTGGTCAGTTTTGTAAGTTATCCCGTTGTCACCTCTTGGGTTAGCCAATGGTCAAGGGTTTCTTTGTTTTCTTTGTGTGACCGGTGGCTTTTGGCGCGATATTTATCAGAGACTACATGACGTCTTGACGAAGCAGACAAGACAGGACACTGGTAAGAAATTCACTAACTTGCACTAATTAATACTTCTAATTCTAAATCGTCTGTTTCCATTTATATTGTCAAATTGATAGATACGATCATACTAGTTAATTCTTGATTCGTTATTAGCTGTACGGTATATATATACTGCGTCATTTTACTTGTATTTTATATATACTTGTTTCTTTGTCATACAGAAATTACGAGTACACGTAATAACCTCGGATAATTCCGTACGACTTCAAATGGCCCTGTTCCACAAATAGGTACAATTTTCTATTTTAAACTTATAGTAATTATTGATGAATGTATTTTATTGTACACTTTGTCTATTTATTAAGTAACCTCCGTATCAATAAATACTGAGCTAAGATAAGATTTACATCATATGTTCAATATTACATGTGTATAAATATCAGTAAATATAGTGTAAATCTAGATGTAATATAACTTTTATAATTTATAGAACTATAATCTTACATGTAACATCTCAAGATAACTTCTTGTGAATTCACAGTGTGCTACATGTATATGTGCGTTATGAATGAGTGGTAGAACCCATACATATATCTGAAATGTAATTATTATATAATTGCAGGGTTTAATCATTTATATCTAAAGAATGGGAACTACGCACAATAAATCGTGAAGAACTCTCACAGTGTTTGTTGATGTTTATCTACAAAATCCACCACTGCTAGATGTCATAAACAGTATTGACTAACTATCGTAAAGTACAAAGTGTGATTTTTGAAACATGACATTGACAGAATTATGCTACACCTGGTGTCAGTTCCAGTACGACATCGTTATTGTTACATAAACAACATGACATTATAATCTTTTTTACAAATGTCATTAAATATATGAAAATAACCATATTACATTGTTGTGACAGTTAAATATAGATATTTCTAAATTACAAAAAAAACACCATTATTTCTATAGTATATATTTGTTTTATTTATATTTCATATATTATATATATGTTTTGTTTTTATAATCATGCTTGATATATATATATATATGATTATGTAAAACGTGACCATACCTTAAATGCATGCAATATGGTTATTTATAGAATGGAACTAAGATTTTAAATGCTTAATAATAGTCACGATAGAACGTTTGATACTTATTATATATATTAATATATACATTTGGAAAATAACATACCCTTGATGTGATTTTGTATTTCTGCTAACCTTGTCTGTCCAGAGAATCTGTTTAAAATCGCTATCATACCGGAACAAATGTAGTAGTCAATGAATTTCTATGAAAACGCCATTAATTTTAAGCAAATTAATTGAGTTGTTGTATCCCACTGCATTAAACTTGAAGACGATGAACATGTTGTGTATCATAACACGATAGTAGGAGTCAACGATCCAATCCCACACAATGGTAGTAATACCGACTTAAGTGTTGTGTTCTACTTCAACAATAGTAAGAGTCGACTTAAGTTGTTTGTCCTACGAACAAAAATAGTAAGAGTCAACTAATGTGTTGTATTATACTACTAAAATAGTAAGAGTCAACTAATGTGTTGTGTCCTACTTCAATTATAGTAAGAGTCGACTTAAGGGTCGTGTCCTACCACAATTATAGTAAGAGTCGACTTAAGTGTCGTGTCCTACCACAATTATAGTAAGAGTCGACTTAAGGGTCGTGTCCTACCACAATAATAGTAAGAGTCGACTTAAGTGTCGTGTCCTACCACAATTATAGTAAGAGTCGACTTAAGTGTCGTGTCCTACCACAATAATAGTAGGAGTCGACTTAAGGGTCGTGTCCTACCACAATTATAGTAAGAGTCGACTTAAGTGTCGTGTCCTACCAAAATTATAGTAAGAGTCGACTTAAGTGTCGTGTCCTACCACAGTTATATTAAGAGTCGACTTAAGGATGTACTCTTCTGAGGTTTCAATCACGTTTAAGTCTCGTTTTGATCTGGTGTAATGGGTTTTTGTAATATTTAACAATCAAGTTTATTAGCAAACACGCATCTGAAAAATATGTCAAAAACTAGATGCCTATTGATGTGTATTTCTTGCGCTTCAAAAAAGACCAAAATTTCACCTTTTTTGGCACTAGATTGATCGCTTAAATTGTCATTGTGTCGTCATTTTTAATTGTAGCAGGTTCAATTTTGCTGTACAACTTTTTAATGTTCAATATGATAAAAATAATATGCAACAAAACTGGAAAATTATACATTATTGATATTTTTTTACGTATTTAGTGGAACTGAAGCACTTTTGATTTTTGACTCGGAAAAAGGTAAAAATAACACAAATGATAATGGGACAAAAAAAGAATCACACTGACCCCCCCATTTTGGTAGATTATTTAGAAAGAAAAACACATTTTCATTTAATTCACTAAATATTTAAAAAAAAGTTTAATACCAGAACTTTTTATATCAAGCGTTTAATCTGCAAAGGAATGGTAAAAAATGTGTATTTTTTCATTAAAAAATAAGGGGGTAGGGGTAACTAAAATTGACTTTCTGAGTTAAAAGAATAAGATGAAGAAATTTTCCTTCCATGATTTAAAAGAAAATAATATTTTCATCAATTCTACAAACATTCATGCATATCTGATAAGACACATGGAAGAAATTGTATGAATTTGTTCTGTAAATGGTCAAAACCCAAAAAATCACCTAAAATCACGTGTTGTGTTAAATTGGTATCTTTGACCGGTCATAGCACAAAAACGAACACACCGACATATAGTTTTTTTTGCATTTTCTACTATGCCATTAACTCCTTTTTCCAAAAATCCATATAAGAAAAAAAGTTTAATACAGGAAATTTCTGACTTCTCAGAGGTGTACATCCTTAAGTGTTGTGTCCCACTACAAAAAAAGTAAGAGTCGACTTTGCTGGGTCCTACTTCAATAAAAGTAAGAGTCAACTAAAGTGCTGTGTACTACTGCAATACTATAACATGTAAGAGTCGACTTAAGTGTTGTGTCTCACTACAATAATAGTAAGAGTCGACTTAAGTGTCGTGTCCTACTTCAATAATAGTAAGAGTCGACTTTTGTGGTGTGTCCTACGTAAAATAATTGTAAGAGTCGATATACGTTTTGTATCTACTACAATGATAGTAAGAGACAACTTATATGCTGTATCCAAAAACATAACCGTAGGATTTTACTGATGTGCTGAATACCACTACAATAATAGTATGAGGCGACTAATGTGTTGTTTCCTGCAACA